AACAATTCACAGAGTTTAGGGAGCTGTCTCAGACAACAGTTGCTGGGATTTTCGTCGGGGAGGGATCTCATTTGAGGAAATGAGACGTGAGGAATATGACTATTACGGGCTCAGATGAAATTTGGGGAGAAGATGATGCAGCTAAGCATGTACATGTAGGGATTTATGGTGGCAAGGATAATTAGGATGGCCGAGGCTAGGAATGGTGGGACCGGTAGTTTTCGGAGATGGGGGGCGATGCTGGCGGGGTGAAGATGGTCATCATTGAAGGTGATGATGGCAGTTCTGGAGATGGCGCGTGATGTGGATGAGGATGGTGATGGCTGGCAATGCATGAGGGTTGTGGGTGAAACAGTGATGCTGGTGGTGAACTACATGTAGGTACATGCAATGATGAAAGTGATCATGAGGAAGATGACAGATTTGGTGATTATCTTGATGGTAGTTCACAAGACGACCATATTAGACTGCATCTCCAAAATTAATTTTATTAAATTTCCACTCTTCAAATGGGAAAGTGCCAGACAATTGCTTTCAAAAGTATCTTTGCAACTGGACAATAAACATGACATGACTTCCAACCCATACTGGTAGTTTCAAACTGTTCTTCAGAGCACAATTAATCTTTTTATCCATCATCAGCTTCACTCATTTTCTTAGTACAAACAAAAATTCACTAGCCTCCCATTTGTCCCTATACTTTTGATTCAGTTTGTTGCTAAGGCAAATGTGTAAGTGGGAAAGGTGAAAGCGGTGAGATGTCATGCTGGTGATGGTTGAGGACATATGATGGTGCAAATAATAACAGTGATACTGATGACAGCTGAGATTAATGGCAGTGATTAATTGAATGATGACAATGACAATGGCAAACAATAACCTGGCACAGCTGAGGCAAGTAAAAGTGACAAATATGTACAAGTACAGAACAGTGAATGATAAAAACGACGTGTATTTTATGCACGAGTAGATGGGCCAGGAAAAATTAAGCTGGGACAATCATTCCACTCGGCATTTCTCATTATGAATTGGATTCGCTTTGTCTGACTACCAACTGAGACTATGATAACATGATCACACCCATAGAAATGGAGCTACGACTCCAATATGTTTGAACAGATAATCAGCCCCTTTTGAAGACCTCTGTCCGCTACGAGCGGAACAAAAGAGGGCATGTTTTTGGTACTCACCGCATAGGCACGCCATGCCTAAGGCGCACAAGTATATGCGCGTTTGACGCGGAGCACGCTGAATACACGTAAGTGACTTACATGTACTCCGGCATGTATGGTCTTTGTGTACACGCAGAACACATGCAAGAACCCGCTTGTAACCACCTGTCTTTCTTTTTGCCGATTGGGGTTGCACTTCAGCTCGGGGCGGATAGTTAAGTAAAGCAAGTGCCATGACCCACATGTACATGTACTCTGTACACAACATATACATGTTACACCAAACTTCACACTGTCATGATCTACACGTGCTGAAAGACTGTCATGAAACAAACAAGAACCCAATTTGTCTCGGAGCAATCCACCCATCAGAGGTTTGTCAGAGCTATGTGAGGCACAAAGCCTGTCAAAATCTCAACGCCATTGAGCACCCTGATGAAGTCCCACACAGCCCCAGCAAACCACCTACCCTGAAACCATCATTCTTCCTCAATGAGCCTACACCGCCATGGCACATGGGGGCAATCATGACGTCAAAATCACGCCTCTGTTTGGGGACCCTGGCCCACGTTCACGATTCGGACCAACCTTGATCATCTCTCCCCCCCTTCCCCCTTTGGTTATCAGCAATACAACCAGAAACAAGACACCCTGGTCACAACTACTTGAGTTGTCCTCCGTCCGTCTGCGATGGCCCTACTGCCTAAATGTCACAGGGTCATGACATTTTAATCTACGTGTACCTTGGGATACCGCCATGTGACTTTTTTTGTTGAGGCTCTCACATTCTCTTTTACACATGTGTCTCAGCCCAGTTCAGGTGAAAGACCATTATTTTCATAATTTTTTCAGCACTCGTACCGACCAGAGGAAAATGTCAGCCCCCACGCAAATTGAACTTTGATTATTTAGTTTTTGGCCAAGGCTGATACCATTATTAAATTGACTCCATCTTCTAACAACTTTCACTTTTTATCTTCTCTCTCTTCTTTTTAGAAAAAAAAATCCTGATTAACAGTGAATTTCTACCTGCTTTTGTTTGACATTTAGGTCCCCCAAATACTTGGTCTCTGGTCAGACCAAAGTTCCAGAATTGATGCGGCGATGCAGGTTTATTTTGGGGGAGGGGTGGGTTGGCTTTTTTAGACTGGCAACGGACACGGAAATGAGTGGCATATTTAATCAAAGCGCAAAGGCTAGTAGTAGCACATCGCACGTCATGCCGCCATTGTTGTTGATCAGCTGGCTGCAACTTTGTAACCTACCCATGGTCTACTGTTTGTGTTCGACATCAACATTACGCAGTCGTAACGGATTATCACCGGCTACGAGCTACCCACAAATTAGTCTGGTTCCTTGAATGAACTGCCCTTCTGACTTGTGGATTTGTGGCCGGGAATCCATCTACTCGCGAACATTTAGGGGGTGGAGAAATAGAGGGTGCTGTTTTGAAAATTTTGAGAAAAAAATGGAAAACAAAAACATTGACGCGCATGTTCAAAAACGACGCGCGTGCTGATCAGAGACCAACTATTTGGTTTTTTTTTTTGGCCTTCAAAATTTTTTGCTGCGGTTCTGGCCAAAATGGAAATGTCAGTGTCGCATTAGAGTGAACTTTGAGACTAAGCATAGCTTGAACAAAATTAATCATTAATTTTCCATAGGCAGGCTCACGTACACACAATTCTTCCCCAAAAGACTTTTTCTTTTATTTTTAATTTGTGTCGTGTACACACCTGTGCACAGTTACCATGTATGCATGAGCCATACCCATCTCTATGGTACATGTAATTATAATTGTTTCCCTTTAATATAATGCTGCTGGGAAAAAAAAGTACAGCTGCTGCTGGGAGGTTTCAAAACATACTGACAACAGTTTGCACTTACATATATTTCAGTGCAATGAAGCTTTCCGATTCAGACTAAATGTGGGCAACCACATTTAAGCCCACATCAATTGGATTTGTCAACAAAGATCATTCAAATCACGATGGTTTACTGTTGGTTGACTGGTTACATGAAATCGGTCAAATGACTGTCTGACTGACTGCATCATCAGCAGATCATTCGATGAAATGATTGAAGAAAGACGATTTCATAAACAGACCCATCCAACTTGCCTGTTCTTCCAAAGCGAGGAAATGCATTCTAACAACTAGTACCTACATGTATCTACACAGGGTACCAGCTACGTGCAATGGCAGGATCCACACATACAATAATAGCTACAACATATACAATGTACCTACCAGTCTACTGTACATGTACACAAACAGTTGCATGGGCTGGCACAGGTGGGACAAAGTGAGGCAGACAAAAACAACGCCATTTTGTCTAAACCATTGGAATCAGTGAAACTGGTTATAAACTAAGACAGTAAGTTATGCAAACCAAAACCATCAATGTCACAGTGCATGAATAAGTGCCTGGTTGAGATAAATGTGCAGTAAATGTTTCTGCACATTAACTGAAAAGGATCAAAGTCCTATATTTCCTTGGTATTTTGTATCCCCTTCAAGAATAGCAATTCTCCCTGCTGGGGTACTGTATAAAACCCCTGCAATAACAATAGACTACTTACATGTACATGTAGGTTCACATGTCTGTGAGTACAATACACTGAACATATGTGTATTTTCATCTGAATGCGCACTAAAACGACCAGCACCTTCCTGCGGTCACCATGCACTCCATAAGATCAAAATTCAACTATCATACATGTACTTGTACTGTATCTCTCTCTCTCACCAATGAGGATGTGCCCATGAAAGATTACCATGACGCCCAATTTACAATGTACTGTACATGTAAACTGGCCAGTGTCCAAGAGAGGAATCGCTGAATGACCTCATTTTCCCACTTTTTGCAATCTCACATAACAGAGATCCAGCCTGGGTTTCAATTTAGAATTGAAATGTCTACCTGCGTTGTATTATATTCCTCCCCAAAACTGCCTGTCCTCTCCAGGGAAAAGCTTTAGAAACTGACAGCCCTTGGTGCTAAGGCCCCAGTTTCCACTGTCTCCAGTATTTTGGATGGAGATGTGACGACTTGTTCATCAGTGGTCATTCGAGATTAACGTAACAAAAAATGAGGGCTTGTACATTCTGAACAAGCCAAAAACCGCATGTCTGAATGAGTTCTTGTCAGTCCTCAGGACAGGTGGATAGGTGGCGAGATGAGATACTTGTACAGCCTGATATACAATGTCGAAAGGGCAGCCAAAGTTTCACCTAAAATACACATTTTTATGGCCGCTTACATTTCTAAGGTATATGTAGTGCTCAGTATAAAGTTTTTTGCCCACTGCAGGTGCTCAGGATTTTAGCCAAAGTTTGGTGGCAATGGTGACCAGGAGTTGGAATCCTGCATTATCAAAGTAAATCCCTCCAAATTGCACTTGTCTCATTTCCAATCTTAGCTGAATACTGCTTTTCTAAACAGGACTTTTAACGATAATATTCCAGTGATCTGCTGTAAGCATTGCCAAAGGTCTATCACCTTTTTTTTTTAAAGATCTTTGTGCAGGGTTAGCTAACAGGCCTTTTGTGTGGACCCGTCAACAGATGGCTCTCACATGGGCATAGGGGATACAAGTGATTAATTTCAACACAGGCATCAATCATGCAAAGAGATTAGATAAAGAAAATCAATACAAAACCAAAAAGAAAAATCAAACAAACCCAAAAAAAAATCAAACAAAACAAAACAATATTTCAACAAAGGGTAACAAAGCTATGCGATCTTGGTTAATAGAAGAAACTTCAAGATTCAGGTGAAATCAACATTAAAAAACAATGCAGAAAAATCTGCATGAGCTTTTTCTACCTTTGGTCGAACAGATGACGGGGCTTTTTCAGGTGGCTTGAATATCAAAGGAAAAAAAGCAATTCATTAATATAGAGCAATGAGGCAGATGATATGTACTAGTGCCACCTGTGATTCAAATAACCATGGCAGCACAAAAAAGGCTCGATTAAATGTGACTCCAATGTATACACCGGTCAGTTCACCTTTCCTAGTCTATGTGAATGTTGACTGGCAACAGATCAGTGCAACAATGGCCACTAGACTGTCCAATGAAGCATTTTTCAAAGCGGGAGAGGGGCAAAGACACTGTGGTTTCAGACCCAGACATTTCATAGTTTTGTTTCCTCGATACTATGCTTTTAATCAGTGAAGTAGTATCTAATGAGATAATGTTAACCAAAAATTATTTTGTTTTTAGCTAGTTGGAAATTCTTTCAGCTGATACAAATTTGCTTTTGAAAAACATTGAACAGAAAGCAGAAATTTGCATTTGTTATTTCCAGAAAATTATGAAAAGTATAAATTTTGAAAAGTACCAAACAAGAAAATACAGTACACTTTGACATATTTGTTGATGCATTTTTACAATCGGCCATAAATGGCCACGGTAAAAATGTCTACTTTTTTCATAAACTGGTTGACTGATTAATTGGCTACAAAAATAATCAAGCGATAAGTTCCGGAAGTCATAATTGTACCAACAAATCAACTTTCTAAGCCGTCATCAGCCAGGAATTGACGTTGTTCGGAGCCCAATGAACAGCGCCCTCTAATGTTGAGATACATGTAAGTGGAGCGTACTGTATGAGATTGCTGCCGACGTTTTCGGGCCCAGTGCCTAGTGTCACCACATTCGTTCAAATGCCATCAACTTCATTGTAATTGTGTAGACTTTGTGTGTGAAGGTTAGTCATAACTTGAAGGCTGTAACACAGCTTAGGTAGAATTTAAACTGAATAGTAGTTGAAAGGAATGCAGCTTTTTCTCAGGGGTAATGTCGATTGTCGATCCCAACGAACACTGGAGGGTGAAGAGATATTTTTTGCACCAGTTTTTATGCAAACGAGCCAAACGATGACATGTCTTACTGCTAGTGCTCATCTCAAACTCAGTGTTGTGCCATGGCCTGGAATAGCAGATAAGAGAGTTTTCAAACCGTCTAGGGTATTTGATTTGGAACTCAGCTCTTCGATTGTGAAATATTTCAACACATTTTGTGCAGTTTTATTTCTATAGAAATGTTGATTAAAACTTTTCACAAAGCCTTCTAAGAAATAAGTAATACTGAAAATTAAAATTGTGCTTTTTGCAGATGAAAGTCATGACAAAACATGGATGTACATGTACCCGGTAGAGCTACAGGTTATCGTGTACTATTTACCACAAGTATTTTTCTCTCTTTCCAGCCGACGCAACTACACAATGTGACGGCACGACGGCTCGTTTGCGACATGCCCTTGCGTTGTGCTGTGGCTTTCTCGCACACATGATGCGTTGCATCGTGTTGTGTGTCGTGTCGTACTCCAGGCGACGTAACAGACGATGTGACGCACGACACGACATATGACGTGACGCACGACACGACATACAACGTGACGCACGATGGTGTGAATGTGACAGGGGACGGAAGGAGCGACGTTTAGGCAGAAAAATATGCAACAAGGAAAGGGCGTAAGACGGCAGGACGTGACGGGCGACGGTACAACACAACACGACACGTCATATGTGTACAAATGTAATGGCAAGAAGGCAAAGGCGCAATGCAACGGCACTATGCAAGGGAGCCATCATGCCATCGCATCGTGTACATGTAGTTGCATCACCTTGGAAGAGACGAGAGAGAGGCAGAAATGTGTGTATATAATGTGTGTAATAGTACACCATAACAAGTATAATCATCACAAACCTGTTTAGTAAAAGAGGGACCCAGACCAAGCCATTTTATTAAAAATCACAGAATTCAAGAAATTCAAGGAACATTAAGTGAAAGTGAAATGAAGTCACACGATTTCTTTTCATCATTTCCCCCATCCTTTCCTGTCGTGTTGCAATGAAATACAAATGCACAATGATCTCAGTTCCAAACTGAGGTGATTGTGTTTTTTATATGATCACAGAATTTTTTTCAAAACTATGGTAGCTACGAGGTGTGTGCCCTTTCCAGAAATTTTAAGTAACTGTCAACAGAGAGCCCCATCATTTATGAAGAACAAAAATGATGCACTTTTACCGATAAATTCATTGCAAAAACGTCCTTCGGTCGCCAAATTGAAAACCCATGAGGGCTCTAAATAAGTTCTAAAGGCTTGCTAAATTGTTTTAATTGATGTGACTGACATAATTTGACAGCATTCACTGATGTCTGGGTCAGGTAGGGTTTGAAACCATCTGGCATCAGCCATTAATACATGTAGGCCGACACATTAAGCCCCACCCCATTATACACGTAGGACCTGCATAAAAGTTGGGGGAGCTGTGCCCCCCCCAGTCGAATAACCACTAAAATCTATATGTCATGTACTAACAACTCTTCCAATGGAAATTTCATCAAATTTCACTCTATTCTTTCACATGAATAGAGTAAATTAGAATTTAAAGAGTGTTAATCTTGAAATAAGACAGTTGGTAGTGTACTCATATTTTGTGCCATTTTATTTTGTAGCCTGAAAAATGGGCCCATTTGGACCTGCCAAAAATTGTCACCAATGCTAGTTATCCATAACACCTTAAATTGAAAGTTTAAACTCCCAACATCATCATCATCTTCAAAAGCGATGACTCAATTCAGCAATTCCCCTTTTTGACCAGAATTAAGACGGGTTCAGACTCACAGGGAAAGCAAATACATTAGGATGAATCTGATGCGGCAACACATAGATGTCCCAAAATCTCCCTCCCTAGAACTACAAGTACATGTATTCCCAACTGTTGCAAAAATTCAAAGAGCAAATACTCATCGAAACATCATAGATTTGCACTTCATGTCTACTTCTGCACCGAGTACAAACTAGTCTTAAATAAGAAGAAAACAAAGATCCCCAAACTTCACTTCTTACACGTACCTAACCCCATCCCTCCCCCACTGAACCCCAACTTTGACCGTTGCAAATTGGCAGTGTAAATAATCACTGCATCACAGCAAATTCACATTGCCTTTGCTTTTACACCGCGTACGAGCTGGACTCAAATTAAATAGAAAAGCAATACATGTACTGGTAGATCAAAAGTTTCTTACTGGGCTCTCGCCTTGTTGGATCTGAGTATGACTTGACCTCCCCAACCCCCCAACTACTGTAAGTTTAACTGTTGCAAATTCACAGTGCCAGTACTTTATCATGATGTCCACAATTTGTGAGCAACTGGCAAGCACCAAATACAAACTGTACAAAGTGGAAAGACCGCAAAGCTTCCCAAAGGCTCATCTCCTTGGATTGGAGCATGACCTGCTCCCTCCAATGCTGAAATCTGTAATTAGCTGTTGCAAAGAGGCATTTAAATACTTTTCCCGACATCCTATGTTCATGATCTTGTGATGAGCAATTTGCAAGTGCTGAGTACAAACAGCCTCAAATACAAAGTAAAACAAACAAAATGGATTATAACGCTTCAGTTCTACCAAAGGCAGATCTGGGAGGGGGGAAATAGGTCCATCCTGCCCCCCAAAAGGGAGGCCAGTTATTAGTATTTTTTTATTAATGAGAAAGGTAAAATTTTGTTGGTATGCATTGTACTTCATTTCCCTTGTTTTGAAAAGTATGTAAAATGGCCAAAAAGTTGCCTCGCCCCTCAGTAAGGCCATGAAAGCTTCAATGAAAAAAATTTGAAAATTGTTCAGTTCTATCAAAATAGGTTTGCTCCCCTCAAAATAAATTTGGATCCAACTGAACATGTAAGTTCTACTCATCTTGCTGACTGGAGCGTGAACCTCTCCCATACGGTGAACTCATTTCATTTGTTCAAATTTGCAGTCTGCATATACAATACACTAAAATACTGCACATTTATGATGTCATCAAAAGTACAAGCTGGCCTCAAATCAGAGGTTAACCAAAATCAAAAGACCAAAAACCATCAGTCTTCACCTTGTTGGAGCGGAGCGTAACCCGACCACCACATCGGGCACAGGACTTCAGGTTGCAGTAGCTACAGGAGTGGCCCACCCCGTCGGCAAACTTGGTCTTGTGGCAGATCTGGCAGACGGCGCCATTCTGGGGGAGGCTGCCCTTGGCCTTGGACTCCGAGGCCACGGCCTGCGTGGTCTGCTGGACCCGGTCAAGGTCCTCCTTCAAGGCCCTGGGAAGAGAGAGAGAGAGATGGGAAGAAAGATGGTTTGGGAAGATGGTCTCAAAGGAGTTAAAGCTACAGTATTTCATACAGTATTTGGCACAAAAACGAACACAATTCGAATTGGTGATGTAAGACCAAGCCTGTTTACGGCAAATTCAAATACTTATACACATTTTCAACTCAAACAAAGTTCACTTTGTTTCTCAATCACCTGTAGCAGGAACCAGCCTTAATGCTGAACTTAAAAATTGTAGAGGCCAGATGCAGAACTCTTTAAGATACCTAAGGGGCCTTTTACAAAATAAATGTACACAATCAGGTCTTTTAAATGCACATTTGTAGCCCACATGACTGACAAGTACATGATGTGAATCTTGTGCTTGCCATTTTGTACAAGGTGAGGAAAGTAGCAATGCATGAATGAATGGATAAAAATTTAAACTGTTCCAAAGAAAACCACATCCCTTATAGAGTGCACTGGCCCTTTTGAAGGGGGGCGGGGGAATGTAAATCTAGGAGATGAGGCATATCCCCTCAATTTTCAACAAGGGTGTGAGGGTGGCAGGAGATTTTATTCACAACAGGATTTCTGTACAAACCAAAAACACATGCTGTATTACAAAAAACTCTTCAAATCTACCTATTTGCAGACTATAAAATCACATTCTTCAGGCTAGACCTACATTATAAATGAATGAAAATTTTGCATTGTTTCCTTGTGATTTCTAACTTGGCTTCCATCAGCACATTTGGAGCCACAAATTGGTGTTAAGCAAAAGTCATTTGCTGCACAGTTTCAACTTAAATTTTCAGGACAACACTGTGTTCCAAAATGGTCAAGAATCTTGGAAGCAAACAGCGTTCCTGTTGTCAGACACCATGCACTCTAGCCAAATGATGAACATCTACAAGCATTGGCAGAAATCCTGAGCAACTCACAAGAAAAAAAATGCATTTCGCAATTTACAAAAAAGTTGACTAACTATAAAAAAGAGGGTACATGTACGTTTATATAAGAACACTATCATTTAATCTTCTCAGCTGAACCCTGATCAAGGTATATATATAACTTCGAAATGATTCAAGTCCCATTGGGATCAGTACATGAATTAGGACTGCACACACCACTACTCTGCTTAACACAATATGGGCATCCCCTCCCAAGGAACTACCCAAAAAATAGATCAATAGGCAAATATCGGCATTGCATGCACCAACAGATACTGGTGCGTGCATGCACGTAGCAATATCATACCATTACAGGCCATAGGAACCAATAGGCAGTCCCACTGAAGCCATGCTTTGTGTGGTTCTCTCAGGATCTCCCCCATGCACTTATCCCATTATGTAGCAGCCCTCTGACACATTGGGGCGTTCTATGTCTCATTTACATAATTGATTGATTCTTTTTCTCAACTCCCTACCCTCTCATGCTCCCAGTCGATAGAGCATTTCTGTACAGGTATTGTATGTATGTTGGGGTTCCAAAGAACCCTTTTTTTAACCCATAAAACAACCCCAAACTTGTACACATGCTGCACTGTTAAGATAAACTATAAGCACAGGATTAGTCAATAAATTTTTTCAAGTACGAGCAGAAAATGTAGAAGGCAAGACCTACTTCATGGGCTGTTTTCTCCATAAAGGAAAAGGAACAAAGTTTCATTTCATGTTACATCTATTTTGTTAGATGATACCATGAACGGTGACCAAAAGCTGGCCGTCGTTCTAAGCATCTGTGAAGCATTTGATTCAATGCATTAATTATCCTAACCCTCCCAGATCCTACAAATCCCATCAAGATGTCTTGGAGGATTTAATGGGATGAAGGAAGTAGTACCCAGTCACTGTTGATTCACACGGGGCCCGATGCTGCTCTAAACAGTTTCGCCCAAATGTCGAGTAGTTGCTATGCAGACATTTACTGCGTCACCATGGGAACACTATGAAACAAAATTTGGCTGAGAAATAACACTTCAACCACAATATTGTCTGCGCTTGGCCCATTTCTGCACTTAGCAGAGCAATGAAATGACCCCTCACAGGGACAAATTTAGGGATCAAGAGTGTATGTGCTGGTACATGTTGGCTGGTTCCTAGCCGTATCAATAAGATGAGTATGAATGAAGCCTTAGTCTAAGATGGAACTCCTGATTTGAGATGAAGTGTGCACACATGCTTTTTGTTAAATGGTCAATGTACAGGTAATCAAAGTTTAGCAGAAGTTGAGATCAGTACATGTACCGGTATACCAAAAAAAGAAAGGAAAATTGAAGAACTACTTCAGAATTGTAATGCATGTGGGGAAATTGGCACACATGCATGTGTACATCATAGTTTCCATAATAAAATTACTGTTCTGGAATGGCAACATGTACGGAAATAATGTCAAATCTACCTGCCATGTTTTGCACAAACAAAGAGCACATCTATCACATAGAACGTCTATGTTTCTAGTACTGGCTGAGAGTCCAGAAATTGTGCTGTTATCACACATACATGTACATGTATATACAATGTATATGCTTGTAACGTGTATGTACGATACATGTACATGTACATGTACTTTTTGCTTTCACTGTATCACATATTGTCCAGCACTGTACATACCAGAGTTGCAGGTCTCGAGACTGGCAGTCTTGGTTTTGATACCAAGAGGTCTCGCTCTTGATCTTGGTCTCGGATATTGGAGGTCTCAATGTTTTCCCTGGTCTTTGAGTCAAGACCAGTCAAAGAACAAAGATCGACACCATATTATGCACCACCTAAATAACGGATTCATTGCTGATCATAGTGGTAGTGATGATCTCGAATGGGATCGACATCAATGCCCTTGCGTTAACATTAGGAAAGCAAAGCTAGTGATACCGGGTTTCAACCTCAGATTTACCGGTGTGCATGTGTGAAGTATGACTGAACTTGTGCGATCAAATTAATAAAGGCTCTATCTGGCATAAATGATATTCTCCAATATTCTGCCAACTTGCAATTGTGTTATGTGTAAGACAGAATGGCCAGAGTACAGCACTGAATGGATGTGTGCACAACACACCAGCACTGTGTTTGTGTGAATGTGTTTATGCAAGTTCTCCCATCAAAAAGTACCCTTTTTTTTAATGAGATTAACCAGAAGGGGGATGTCAACAAGTTTTCACACATTTAAGAAGAGGAGGAAGTTGCAGGAGGTTCCCAACCAAATATGGTAGATTCAATTTCTACATGCACATCATGTATCTTTGCAAACTACATGTACATGTACCTGTCTTATATCGGCATGCCATGAATTTTAGCTCCAAGAAAACCATTATCTGGCAAAAAGCACACAAGGCTGGCCCCTCTATGCATGTCACCATGTACCGTATGTCTCTGTAATTCATCATTCGTGGCCAAAATGCACCCCGAGAGGTGAAGGACAAAAAAATTTCATGTCTTTCCCCGGAACTGGCCATTTTACAGCAGCATTACACCAACTGATGGGAGCATATTACCTGTCTTCCTTCTCCACGGATTAAAAAAAAAAAATCCCCCAGACAAAATGCCATGCAAGGAGAGAGGACTGATAAAAGGGCAGGCAAGTGATTGATGCAATCTCATTTATATGCAAATTAGCCTCGACCAGAATTTTTTTTCAAACTAGTCGTTAAAACAGGCAGGCAGATCAGAAATTGAAGGGGAGCATTTCTGTATGTTTTAAAAAGGTCTGTGATGATTAAAATAAAAATTGGTAAGTGGATTGGGGTGGTTTGTTTTTTTCTGGTGTGGTGATCGGTCAACCGCAGCGGAAGTCACACGGTTTGAATGATAAATAAATGATTCAGAATGAAAACAGACAACTGTGATGGTAGTCACTTGCCATGAAGCCGACTTGGGAGTTATACATGTACATGTAGTTCAGGAGCTGACAATGATTCGACCTTAAGTTGATCTTTACCAAGTTCACAAACCAATGGCGGCAAAACAATTTTTAAAGTGGAGGGGGCCAGTTGTGAGACAATCAGGCATCAGCCTTTATCAGGCCGATCCATTAAGCCCAACCCCATTATAGGACCCGTGAAAAGTGGGGGGCTATCCCTCCCTCCCCCCCAGTCAAAAAAGTGGGAGGGGGGGGCACTGCCCCCCAGCTTCTGCTACCAATGACACTGACTTACATACCCAGCGAAAAGCATTTACATTTGTACTGCAGTAGTATCACACTTGCTTACATGTCACGTGCGTTCTTTAACAGGAAGCATGGTTTTGTTTGGGCAAGTTGCAAACATGCTATTTGTCAAAAAGGTATTGCTTATCTATAGGCATAGAGCATGCATGCGTAACCATCACAGCACATGGCTTCTGATTGTTTTAAACTTTGTTGTAAATGATAATTTAATCCTAACAGTCCTCAATCCTCCAATTTCAATATGATTTCACGTACAACCTAAGCAGTTAAAAATGTCATACTATCTACATGTATAACATTTGGTACAATAGGCCCTGTGATACTAGTCCAAATCTAAAAAAGTTAGAGGGCCTGACAATTTGACCCCACAGTGCTCAGAGTTTTTCTCAAAGGCAGAAGGTAATGGTCTCAGGAGCTGACGAGAATCCATGAATACTGCCTACAAAGATTCATGTACATGTACATACACACATTGATGTTCTTCGTGAAGCCAGCAAGAGTCCCTTTAATAAACACGTCTGGCTACAGACTCAAAAAGCAAATCTGCCAGCTAGGTTTAGGCTGGTATTTTCAACATGCAACGTGCTGGTACCTGTGGCTGAACCAGACTGACAGCCTGGTACCAGCAAACAGTGCACGCAATCCATGTGGCAGAGAAGAGCCTAGCGCAGCACGATCAATAATTGATGAGTCTCCATAATGCGCGCTCTGCTGCCCCGCATATTAGATGGCTGCCTGGTGATGCATTAATCACATACTAACGTGGGTCACCATACACATATGACAGCAAAGGAGGAGGGAGATTGAGACTTAGAGCAAATTATTTCTCAAGTGCTACATCTCTCAA